TGACTCAATGACCGACCTCCTTATTCAACGCGCACGAGTTAACCAATTCGGCTACCCAACCTCCATAATTGTTGACAGGGCCTGGTTAGTGAGCCTGTGCCTTTAACCGCCGAGTCACAGTGGCTCTCAAATTACAAATGGCGTTATAAAATATATTTTAGTATTATGTTAATAATATCTCATAGATAATTAACTAACAAAAATGATCCCTACACAGACAGGTGTATTTGTATATCGTGCATATATTAAATCAATTTATCTATTTAACTGATATCACATGATAAATGGTAGGGTGTATTTTTGATATTTGTTTAGTATTGCGAGTTTATCCCTTTTCTCAAGCTACTCGTTAATCTATGTAAGCCATTTGCAATTGATCAAATTTGTCACAACTTAACCCAGGCTAAAATGCACTGATTATTTAAAAGCGGTGTTGGCCTAGAAAGTTCATCGGTATTTTCCGACGTGGTTACCCCGGTGTATGTGATGCAGAACAGAGAACCTGGGAATTTACAACCTTAGTCGCTCTGATGTGACAAAAAACCGCGGCCCTGGGCATTTATTGACGTGCACGTAAAAGAACCCTTGCCAGTTGGAATTCAAGTAGGCCGTAGCACACTGCATGTCCGTCTTCATTAGCCTAGTCAGGAAAGAATAATTGGACATTAAACCCAATTTCATTTCATTTTTGATTATTTAAAAGAACCATTGACGATGGAATGAGACGAAAATACAGCTGTTTGAAAAAATCACCCCCCCCCCACCCAAAAAAAAAAAAAATTAATAAAAACTGTAAGGGCGAAGGCCCGTTTCCATTAGCCAAGTTGGTGCATAAAAGGAAGATTTTTGACAATCTGAAAAACTGGAATGGTCTTATCATTCCAGGACATTGTAGATTATAGTAAGTCTTTAATTTTAAACATACATTATGCAAGAGCTAAATCTGCCTATTACAAGTATTTCTTTTGGGTTGAAAAGTTATATAAACTATTAATTAGACATTTATTAACATGAAAAGACCTTAATTAACTCTCGATCCCATCTTATGTGTCGGATTGTCATTGGATTTGAATCCCAACTGCTGCTCAACGCCCATTGATGATTAAATCAAAATGTGGATAATCGAGACTATGTTTTTTTTTTATCGTAACGACTATATTAATGATGACCAAGGCTAGGTTGAAAAATTAATCGCTAATATCTTGGTTCGGAGTGAAGCAATTTGACTGAAATTTTCAGCATATTCCATTTACATAACTAGTATAGTGAGAACTGCAGGCTCTTTATCTGATCTTCCATAATGTATTTATAAAGTGGATAACGTGATACTGTATATTTATTATGTGTACTTCCGATGAGGCAGTGAACCGCAGCTTAATTAATGACCTCATTTAACCTTAATCTAGGCCAGTGTGTCAGTCTTGTCATAGTTACACCCTCTTCAACATCTCATTATGTTAAAATCAACTAACGCTCGGCACAACATTAGGATACGCGTGTTTCTAAATACGAAACTAACCGTGTTAACACCCTTTTTTAAACCGTACTCGTATGTATGTACACCTTCATTCCGTATAAATTACTGTCATAGTTTATTAAACATACATTACGCAAGAGCTAAATCTGCCTATTTCAGTAATTTCGTTAGGCCTGAAATGTTATATAAATAAACTATTAATTAGACATTTATTAACAAGAAAATACCTTAATCAACTTTCGATGCCATCTTATGTGTTCCATTGTTTTTGGATTTGAATCCGATCTGTTGTTCAACGCCCGTTGATGATTAAACGCAAAAGTGGATAATCGAGACTTTGTTAATTATCGTGACAGTGGTAACAATGACAATCGAGGATACAGAGATCTCTGTGTTGACCAGCGCGATTTTCTCTTGTCTCTGATGTAGAGAACAGGGGGTCTGGCACGGGTGATTCGAAAAACCTAAATCCCGCATGTACATACTCAACTTAGGCTGTCTGTCTACAGTTAGCTCCGCTTAAGAACAGACGTTAAGCTAATTGGCCGACATTTTAAGGCCTAAATCGACGATATTAGTCGAAAACACTAAGTATACTTCGAGAATTTTGTTAAATATTTATTCTGCTCCCGTTTAATAAAATTGAAAAAGTTTATTTGTTCTTTTTGTGTATAACAGACGTGAAACGGAGTAGAACTGCATTACAAAACAGTATACTCATTTTTGGATATGGCGGGCATTTTGGGCAGAAATCTATTCTCGAAGTATGAAGTAGATAGATCTCTGTGTGCAGAAGGACGTTGGCAGACACGCACAAGAATCATTGACAGTTGGAATTCGTCAAGGGAAAGGCCTATAGGAAGAAAAGCCGCTGCCTAGGCAAATTTTTCCTCGTCACACTGCATGTCGGTCGTATGTCCGCCTTCATAATCCCGGTTGGTACCGAATAGTAGGACGTTAAACCCCATTTCAATTCTTCTATTTATTAATCAAACTGAAAGATGGAGTTCAAATCGACTTTCAAAAAACATGTGCACAGCAAAATTGAACGCGTTTTTGATATAAAATATTGTTTATATTTTTTCCCTCCAACAGAAATATTTTATCTGCCAAAAGTGTATAACAAAAACAATTGTATTTCTCAGGTATTTTAAAACTATTGTATATTATATGGGGAGCCACGGTGGCTCAATGAATAAGACGTTGGCCGAGAAAGTTCATCGTGATTTCCCAACGTGGTTCCCCCAGTCAGTGATTCCCCATTGTCAGTAATTCCTCCTTGACAGTGGTGCTGGGCAGAGGGTCTAACAAGAGACAACGTATAGTCGTTCGGATGGGACCAAAACCCCCCGATTAGATTTTATTACATACTTCGAGAAGGTATTTGTTGAGTAATAAAACCTTCTAGTAGTTTATCGAGGGCTGGCCGTCCTTACCGCACGGTACAAATATTATCACCACTAGAAGCAACAAATTCCAGAACAAGCCAGAACTCATACCAAAATGGCCGCTTTATACAAAAGAGTATTTAGGGGAATACTAACCCGAACCCTAACCCTAACCCTTTTAAGAGAAGTAAAAACTAAATTAGACCCAAGTTCAGTCTTTTAAAAAGGGTTAGGGTTCGGGTTAGTTATCCCCAAAATTCTCATTTATATAAAGCGGCCATTTTGGACTCCGGAAGCACCCGAACCTCGATAAACTACTAGAAGGTTTTATTTGTACCGTGCGGTAAGGACGGCCAGCCTTCGATAAACTACTAGAAGGTTTTATTACTCAACAAATACCTTCTCGAAGTATGTAATAAAATCTAATCGGGTGCCAAAACAGAGATTCAGTGTACACATTTGAGTGCACGTAAAAAAAACCTTTGGCAGTTGGAATTCGATGTAAGAGTAGACCATAGCGCCGACGTCCGGGGAAAATTTCTCCCATAGCACACTGTATGGCGTAAGCCTGTCTTCGTTAACCCAGTCGGAGCAGAACAGTAGGACATTAAACCCCATTTCATTTCATTTCATTTCATTTTATATACAATATGATGCAACAACTTAAAAAATAATTCTTTGCTCTACACTAGTCCAATTTTGAAAGGCATGGCGAACAACTAGGTTTACGTTTTGTTCATGTTATTGATATTAAATTTGGGTTTCAGACAGTTTCAATGGATTGTTTTCATCAGGGTTTAATTCATATATGCACATACCTCTGTAAGGTCTTTTATGCAATAATCTTTCCTCTACATGAATGAATATGATAAAAGAAGTGAAATGAAATGAAATGGGGTTTAACGTCCTACTGTTCTGCTCCAAACACGGCTAATGAAGACGGGCTTACGCCATACAGTGTGCTATGAGGGAAATTTTGCGCGGGCAGAGGCACTATGGCCTACTCTTCTATCGAATTCCTACTGCCATGGGATCTTTTACGTGCAAGCCAATGTATACACGGGGCCTCGTTTTTCGTTCCACCCGAACGACTAGACAGCTGTCCTTTTCAGGCCCTCCGTCCTGCATCACTGACAAGGGGGAACTTTCTCAGCCAATGCAGGGATCGAACACCCGACCTCCAGGCTAGCGAGCCAGCGTCTTACCCACTTAGACATGATAAAAGCAATCGATAGTTGAAATATTAGTCACATACAATTACAATACTATTTTTAATCGTTTAGTTTAAGCATGGGCCGTATCTTGGGCAGTAAATAATTGAAATTACAGATTTTGTTTATGTCTGTATTTATTTAAGTAATCGTTTAACCAGGGCCCGTGAGAGGGGTGGAAGGCTAGCTAGTACATTTGTCAAGGGACCCGCAGGCTATAGTGGCCCGGTGGTATGTCAAGTAATGTTTAAAAGAAATTGTTGGTATAAATTAATTAAAAAACTACACTGTTACTTGATCGTAAAGTACAAGAAAACCGGTGACTGAATGTGTGTACCTGACAAGGAACACTGTCTAGTGGTTCGGACGTTACGAAAAACCGAGGTACCCTGTACACATTGGCGTGCACGTATTTGAAATGAAAGTAGACCGCAGTGCCGCTGTCTGGGTAAGATTTTCCTCATTGCACATTGCATGGTGTATGCCCGCTTTCAATAGCCAAGTGGGTGCAGAAAAATAGGAGTTAACCCCCATTTCATTTTTTCAGTTTAAATCAATTACTTATTGATATTTACAGGCAGTAAACAAACAAAAAAACAAACAAAAACCCGTGAAAACTATATTATTTATTAGCCCGGTTGGTGCAGAAAAGTAGGCCGTTAAACCCTCGTTTCATTTCATTTCATTTCATCTCCACTCATATAGTCATAAAGCATGGTAAGTATCACTTAATATAAATACTTCGATTCACTGCACTTGACATCCACAGCGGAGATTTTATTGATCCGTCGACGCGCGTCTTCACAAATCCGGCTGGATAATCTAGATATTGGCCGCATTTCATATGCTAATTAGAGTAAGCTCCCTTCAGCAAGCAATAACAAAAATAACTCGCAGAAAGCCCGTTATCCTATGGTTATGACGTCACACTTATGAACTCACACTGAAAGTTTATATTAACGCCACGATGCCGGGCTATGGAAGGGTATCCCGGCGAATATCTCGTCAACTAGTGGATGGATTCTTACCAAATTTTAAACCCACGGAGGACTATTATTATGGAGTTGTGATTTGTTGATATTTTGTGTGTATGTTACGCCCGAGGGGCTAGAAAAGGGACCACGCCTTCCATTCAGTGTGTATGACCTAGTTATTGCGCTGATAGAAGTTATATACAGTGTGTGTGACTTTCCCCTAACGTTACACTATTAAATCATTCTTCTCACAAATGTCTACAGGTTCAGTCGGGAATTATATTAATCCAGTATTCAGCAGTTGTTTGCTTGTTTGTTATGGTACTAAAACCCTTGTTTACCTATATTGTACATATTTGGAAATTATGCCAAAGATAGTGCGCTGAAAGATTATTTTATTTAAAGTGAATAACCCTTTGACGTATAGTACTCATTGGACAAGGAATGAGGAGAGGTGTTCAGTTGGAATTTATTAATTCACGCTGCATTTATTTCATTTTTAGTCCCAAACTCCGCCAAGTTAAAAATTACCTAATCAACCCGACGACATGATTTGGAGGAGTTTGCCGTCATGTGAAACGCCACGAAGAATCTTTATGTTATTTTGTGACTATAATGAGTCCAAATGCTTGGTATACAGGCAAGCGCCGAGTTCATTCTCGATGGTTACGAATTTTCTGTGTTCTGTCAGTACTAATAGCGGTGTTTCCCCTAAATACGAAAGCCGTAAGGCTGCAGGATTTATATAAATTTAATACGACGAATGGAGATAAGTTAACGGATTCAACGGACGATGGGGGATCCGGACCAATCAATATTACTGTCAGTTTTCCATTCTTCACCAAAAAACACGACAAACTTTACGTAAGTATACCGATTTTTCTTCGACCAAAAATTCCCGACTTGTTCGTCCCACGCACAACCTTAGCGTGACTTCAAGGTATTATAGCAATGTCGGTGGAAGACGTTGTTAACCAACGCTTGTTGTGGAGCAGTTTCTACACACTTACAGAATGTACTATATATATATGTGTATATAACAGACTTCACTGTAGACCGATAAGATAAAGCGATATATACATGCATGTGCATACCCACGACCCGCATTCAGATATAACGGTATCCGTGTATAGCGCACGGTTTTCACTTAAAGTAAAACGTATAATCCCACACGTGTTATAGTATACTATATAGACAGTACAGTATAAACAGATCGATATTCACAATTTATATCCAACCACATTTTACAGTGACTTATTATTACACGTACGTACAGCAGGTATACGTACCCACCCCTTAACACACGTACACGTACATCAGTGACTTATCGCATAATAAATCTACACAAGGACATAAAGTATCTGTAATGACGCTCATTTAAAATTGACATCCGTGATCTAGATTTCAGTGAAGTTAATATATAATTGTGGATTAATAAAAAAATAAAATAAAACCTTAGTCACATTTAATATATAATATGACCATGTATACAGTACTAAATCCACAAAACGTGGCGATGGCGCTTTTATACTTATAGCTTATATGTACAAACTTTACTTAAATGTTTATGAAAACTTTCTGCGTCATTTACAGCGAACGTCTTTTGAAGATGTTATATATGCGATTCGAGTTACGGTTCAGGTTACGACAGCATGATTAAATAACGTTATTTACATTTTCACCGTAGGCGTACGACGTTTAAAATTGTATAACATTACAACAACGTTTGTGTTAACGTTAATTACGCTCTCAATTGTTTTGTAGTAAAACGTTTAGCAGGCTTGGGAGCCACGGTGGCTAAGTGAGTGGCTCGATAGCCTGGAGATCGTGGGTTCGCTCCTGGTGTTGGCCCAGAAAATTCATTGGGATTTTCCGGCGTGGTGTAGGACGGAGGGTCTGAAAAGGACAGCTGTCTAGTCGTTCGGATGGGACAAAAAACCGAGGTCCCGCGTACACATTGGCGTTTACGTAAATGATCCCTTACCGCTGCCTGGACAGAATTTGCCCCATAGCACACTGTATGGCGTATGCTCGTCTTCATTAGCCCTGTCGGAGCAGAACAGTAGGACGTTAAACCCTATTTCATTTCAGTTCTCTGCAGCGTCACTTACTATAAACATGCGTTATTTTGGTTGTCAAAAATTGAAGTTATGAACGTCAGAATTTGTGATTTTTGTCGACAGCAGTAATTGCCTCTGTTTAACTCCGCGAAAAGACTAGAAATAGTCGAGTTGAGAAATTAATTACGGTACATAATGAAGCTGTGTCACAATAGCTTGTTTTGTAGATGTGAAAGGGGGTGGGTTTTTTTTAGTAAAAAGTATTAAAAAAAATTAATATCATGTATGTCGCATATTTACAAAGCCTAAACTTAACACTTAATGTAACACCATTAATATTTACAAAGCCTAAAATTAACACTTAATTTAACTCCATTAATATTTAAAACACGATTCTATTGTTGTTCATGTAATGATTTGTGATGAGATTAAATGGTAGCGTAGGATTAACGAGTTCCTGGTCTATTCACAACGGGGAGTCGAATAAAATCAAGGCATTGAAATTTGACCATATAATATGTAAAAAATCATGTAGGGGTACACAAAATGATGTAGCAGTAAGTTAACGATATTTTTAAGTAAAAAAACGAGAACAGGACATGATGTTGTGATAATCTTTATTAATATTATTTGATAACATACCTGGCGCGCTTTATGTCGCATGTTGGGAGACAAAATGGCTGGCTCGATGAGTAAGGTGATGGCTCACACCAGGTGGGCGGGGTTCGACCGCGGTGTTGGTTGACAAAGTTTCCCTTTGGCAGTGGTGCTGGAAGGAGGGCCTTGCAAGGAACAACGTTAGTCATTCGGATGGGACGAAAAGCCGAGTCCTGCTTGCACTATAAAATTCAAATCGTTGTCTGGGATGTTTGGGAAAAAAAGGCGCCTGCTTATCTCCGTGCTTTATTTTCGGTTTCCACCAACTGGTATAGACCCCTGTGCGCAAGAGAATTATTAAATAAAAGTCTTGGTTCCGATATAAACTAGCTCATGTTAAGTGGATGTTAAATCTCTGTAGATAACTAAGTTATAGATATTTGTTATGTGATAGAGTTTAGATAGTGAAGATAATGATATATTATAGTTTATTTCCCGTGTTTGTATAACCACGTTTCACCTGTCGTTACACCTATTGCAGGCATTGAAATGTGGTTTAACCACCTACTGTTGTGCTTCTATACTGGGCTAATGAAGACGGGCATACGCCATATAGTGTATTATGAGGAAAATTTTTCCCGGGCAGCCGCACTATGGCCTACTCTTATATCGAATTCCAACTGCCAAGGGATCTTTTACGTGCACGCCAATGTATACACGGGACCTCGTTTTTCGTCCCATCCGAAAGACTAGACATCTGTCCTTGTCAGGCCCTTCATGCTAGTATTGATATTCATACATATAATATACATATAATATACATCATGAATGCAATGAGGTTTAAGCCGAGTTCGCGTGTATACCGTTGATAAAAAGGAATGAAATGGGGTTTAACGTCCTACTGTTCTGCTCCGGTTGGACTAACGAAGACGGGCATATACGCGATACAATGTGTGACGAGGGCTATGGCCTACTCTTATATCGGTTTCTAACTGCCGAGGGTTCTTTTACCTCGATTTTTTGTCTTATCCGAACAACTATACGTTGTCCCTTGCCAGACCCTTTGTCCTGCACCACAGACAAGGGGAACCACGCCGGAAAATCACGATGAACTTTCTCGGCCAACACTGGGATCGAATCCGCGACCTCCAGGCTAGCGAACCACCGCATTACCCACTTAGCATCCTTGCTTCCCATTTTCAGAAAGTGAAAGATTCATTGACAGTTCCAACTCGAAGTAAGAGTAGGCTGCAGCCCCGCTGTCAGGGCAAAATTCCCCTCAAATCACACTGCATGGTATATAACCTGGATGGTTCAGAAAAGTAGGACATTAAACCACATTTCATTCATTCATTATTTCATTTATCGATTTTAAATTTTGGTTGAAACTACTGTACATGTATATATACACAAATGCAAATTAAAATATTGAGGAAAAAACAAAAAAACACAGTATTATATGCCCGGAACATCCTCGGGGCTTTAATACATATTTACCAGTAATAATTATTTTAACCATGACGTTATTCTTATTGTTGTATAATTATTAACGATCCATTATGTGAGATTAGATAAAGAGCTGATAGTTCTCACTATAATAGTTAAAAAAAAACTAGATAACGTAAAGGGATTTGCTGAAAATTTCATTCAAATTGATCCACCCTGAACCGAGTATTTAGCCACTGAAGTTTGGTCCTAGTCTCGATCATCATTACTAAAGTCGGTAGGATATAAAACATAGTCTCGATTATCCAAGTTATGACTAAATCAAGAATGAAAGTGGAACAGCAAATGCGGTCCTAATCTAGTAAACATCGCAGGCTAGCGTTGACAACGAGAGTTGATTATGGTCTGGATAAGTTAATTAATGTCTACTTAATAATTTATATAACATTTCAGGCCTAAAGAAAGACCTGCAATAGGCTGATTTAGCTCTTACATAATGTATGGTTAATGGAGAATATGCATTAAAGGTCTGCTGATGTTCCAATACCGTGTTTCTTTCCTCAATATTTTAATTTTTATATTTACAAGCTAAGAGCAGATCATCAATTAGAATTTATATATATTCAGAAATATCGTTTTGAGTCTTTTTAACGCCAAGTTACAGTATATTAAAACATGACCATATTCATAAATTTCATTTGCAGGTTTATAGATATTATGCAGTTTTTTTTTATTTGCCTTATAGATGAACCGTGGCGCATACCTCACCTAATGTATATGTTAAATTAATAGAATTATACCCCAGAGTATCGCTGCCTGTCAAAGAATGAATACATATAACATATGGTCGCATATTCTATTTCACAGGTTCCTGGTACATGTGTATATTGTATACATTTTTTAAGATAGAAAAATGGCGGGAGAGATCGCGAGCGTTCGAGAAGATTAAGAATTAGGACTACAAAATTTTGTTTAAAGCCGCTGATCGCGTTTTTTTATGAAAATATTTAAATTGTTCGCGGTTTATTCTACCCTTAAGATGTATTCAGATTGATTATTTAATCTTTAAAGATACATTATAATAGTTCGAAATTAGATAATGCAAAATGAATATATTGAAAATTTCATTCAATTTACTTTATTCTGAGCGAAGGTTTGGCTTTGAAGGTTTAGCGAGATGTGTGCACTGATTGTATAAACCATCGTACTGGTTGTTCACCATTTTTAAATTAAATCATTAAATGACCGGATCCTTCTAATGTACTTAAAATCGAACATATCCGATGGCATTGAAAATTGATTATGGTCTTGTCATGTTAATAAATGTCTTAATTAATAGTTTATGTAACGTTTAAGCTCTATAGAAAGACCTGCAATAGGCAGATTTAGCTCTTGCATACTGTATATTAATTAAGAAGACAAAATCCCGGCTTGGATTCAATCAGATTAAAAAGAGGTCCGTTTTATCCAACACTTATAGGTGGCGCGGGCTTGTTTATATCTACAAAGGATGTTGAATATTAGCGAATATTTATTTCATTCTCATTGTTAATATTGCAACGGAACTGAATCATTAGAGTTTCAAAATCCACATTCCAAATCCATCGGATGACGGTAAGTGGCATTAGCAATGTCGGATATGGTTGGGTATTCCATCAAGTTCCTATTCAAGGTTTCCCTTTATAATTGTTTGGAGGAGGAGATATGAATTGAATTCCCTTCCTTCTTAAATAGCAAAAGCTCTTTGAATTGGGTCAAATT